TCCTGGAGATGAGCCAAACGGGACCCCTCGGCTTGCAACTCTAGAATGGCAGTGATGTGACTCTGAGGTCCCCGTCGCTCCCGGGGGTGTCCAAGAATGGGGCCTCAGTGCTGAGGAATTGCCAGAGAATGAAAGAAAGACTGGCGCCTGCCTGATCCCGGCACACAGCCGGTTCAGAGACGCTGCCGCCTCCTCAGAGAGTGGGTGGGCAAGGGGCTCACTGCCCAGCCTCCACAATGGCCCCTGGGGACCTAGTGCCACGCAGGTGCAACCATGTGCTGACAGTAGGGAAGTGCGGATCACCACGAGGCTCCTCATGAATATGCAGAGGAAGCCTGAGGTACAGGGACAACAGGGGACACGCCGCTGAAGGGGCTGCTGGGAGGTGGGGCACAGTGTGGGTTAGGAGTCATGGCCTGACTGTCCAACTTTCAGTAATGTATTTTGTTACCTTTTAAGAAATGCGCTTGCCTCAGACATCTCCGAGGCCAAAAGGACTGAACGAATAAATTCCCCAAGAGGGCTGGTGTGCACGCCCGGGAACCATCAGAGGCAGGCTCTTGGTGGGTGACAAGGCCAAGGCTGCAGTGCAGGCCTTTTAGCAGGGCCACCGCGGAGCTGGTCTAGCCGAGACCTGTGGGAACCACCCATGCCAGCCCGGATCCTGGTAGCCTGTCCAGGGTCCTGGCTTTGTCTCTACCCTCCCGGGAAGCTGTATCTCATGCATTTGATTCCAGGTATTTGTCGGAGATCTTGGTTTGTTTTTGAGATTTGCTCCCCATGGCTTGGAGCTCAATTCTAGCTGAAATGTCACCAAGAGGGGGTAGCTGGAGCCACAGGCTGCCAGAGGCGGGGCAGTCGCTCTGGGGCATGATTTCTCATCAAGGGCTTTCACCCACAGCTGAGACTCTTCCCTGCACACGTGAGTGGCCCCTAGCAGCATTCACCCCTGCTTAAAAGTCAATGGCTCCCCCCATGCTCAGCACCTCGGACATTCCACCCCACCCACCTTCAGAACTTCCAGTTTGCTAGAGCTCGGGGTGATGTGTGGGAGAGTGGCGGGGGCTGGGTGTGCCTGTTTCTGCCACTGACTTACTAGACAACCTGAGCACGTCTCTCACCTCTCTGGGCTCCTCCAAAACTGCAGCAAATGACAAGGAGGTGAAGCAGCAAGGGGTATTCGACAGAGATTGGGGTAAGAAGTTGGAGACCAATGGGTCAGATTTGGCCCATGGACATATTTTTCTTTTGGTTAACATAGTGTTTTTAAGATTTTTCACACTTGAATGCCACTCAGGGAGAGAGGCAGGCCCTGGATGTCTTGGATCCCAGCCTGCCATGCTGCCTTATGCCTTGCCCTAGTGACAAGGTTATACTACCTGGCCAGCCCAGAAAGCAGTTCATTCAGGGCGCTTGTGATTGTGATCTGTATTTTCTGGACCTGTGGGTACCCGATGGTCCTGGCTCCGACACGCCTGCATATTGTCACAGCCAGGCCTAGAGTCTGTTCCAGAGAAGGCAGGACAAAGACAGGGGCGTGAAGGAACGTAACTCTAGCATCTGGATCCTGGGAGCCAGAGCCCTGGGAGCCAGAGCCCAGGACTGAGGTGCAGCCTAGGACAAGCACTGATGCCCTCTGAGCCTCAGGGGACAGCAGGGAAGGAGTCTGAATAAAATCTCAGAAGCAGCCAGGCTCGGTGGCTCAGCCTGTAATCCTGCGCTTTGGGAGGCTGAGGTGAGTGGATGGCCTGAGCCTGCGGGTTCGAGACCTGCCTGGGAAACTTGGCGAGACCTCCTCTCTACAATAAATCAAAAAATTAGCCG